GCGTATCTCGATGGAATGACATCAAAGGACGATATCTACAACAAAGTATATGAAAGTTTTCAGAACGGCGTGCTGAACAACTTATAGGTACATTTAAAATATAATCTTTAATATGTTCACCAACAGTGTGACAGTGACAGTGTTATTAACCCTCTCCTTTCTCTCTCTCTCTCTCTACAGCAGGACGAGGATAACAGTGGAGCTGTGTATAGACTTGTAAATATAACTTTGAGCACATGTGTAACAGCAGTGTGTAGTTCTAGCCTGATTTGTAAATAGTTAATCCTGTTATTAAGCACCATGTTTTTATGGTCCTGTGTAATTTTTTTTTAAAGATAAGCCACATCTGGACGGCCCAGTGTTTAACATCTGGGACGGATCACAACACTGATCTGTATGTGAATCTATAAAATACCCACTGGGAGGAAGGATTTGTGTCTCGTAACTGAATGAAACGACTGAATCCGATTTGTGTTTCCTGTTTTCATTTCAAATGCACAAACACACACACACACACACACACACACACATTGGCCAGATGTGTGTAAATTACTGTTCATGGTCATTTGAAAACAAAGGCCGTTGTTGGACACACACACAGACACACCGAACATACACACACACACACACACACACACACACACACACACACACACGCGAGTCACAGACCTTACATCAAAAACATGTGTGTGATAATGATTGAAAACATCCTGTGGCTCATAAATCACACCTTATCACCCAGATTAGATTAGATTAGAGTTGCATTAAAATTGTACTGCTAACCGAATCACACAGATTGTATTCCTGAAACACACAATGGCTGAGCTATTGCAGTGTACAGGAAGGAGGAACAATTTACAAATATTGGTTAACTTATTTAATCTCTTCTTTTTAGACAGATAAATATATACATATGTGAAAAGGCTATTTGAGCAATTATGACTGAACCAAAAACTAAACAACCAGGAGCTTTTTGAGTAGTCAAACCCCCTGACACAAGCAACACAAATTAGTGTTTTATTCGCCTATATTTATCAAAGGTGTTACATTTTAGTTATCCACTAAATTGCCTTGAGATGGATTTATAATGCCACACCCTTCCCATGCATGAGGGCATTTTTTTCTCTTTTAAGTGGCATCAATTACTTTGATAATATTATTGTTTTACCAATGTTGAATTGGAAAGTGACATATTTGAACGTTACTGGGGGAGTTTTGTGGCTAACGTATACATTTCTCCCACCATTTCTAGACTAAAAACTATCATTGAATCATGGCGTAATGTAAAAGGTTAAAGAACATGTAAACTGATCACCTCCATAGCACAAAATGAAAATATCTGATTATATTTCTGTAAACCTTGTTAGGGGAATTCTCTTTTCACATCACAGAAAGGTCAGAGCCACAGAGTGCTTTGATAAAGCTTCCCTTCTGTGTTAACATCACATCCATTAACATGAAGTAACCTTTCTCTTTTCTAGCCTGTAGCGTCTCATAATAGAAAGAAATATTTTGGTTTTGTCTGCTTAGTAAATGTTATTTTTTGGATTACTGGCCTCAACTTAAAGGTGGGGTAGGTAATTTTGGAGAAACCAGCTCGAGTGCGCTAAAATTTGAAAGTACACAACCGAAAAAAATCTGCCATTTCCTTACAGAGCCCCTCCTCCAACACACACGAACGCGCACATGACCAATGAGGGCACGAGATAAGTTTGTGCACAGATGGAAGGCTGACAGTAAGGTAGGCCATGCCCGGCTAAAATGATTGGTCGTGCTTTTTACAGTAGGGGAGAAGGGGGTAAATTGAGCCAGTGGGTAAATTGAACCACCCCCTGTAACCAGGCAACGCCTTATAGTTGTAATCACGTGACCAGAAATTATGCAAGCTCCACCCATTTCTCATTGTCTGTGAAATAGAGATACTCATTGTGGTCTGGTAAGTAAACATTTTTACAAAAAAAAGTTTTTTGCTTGTCAAAGTAAATTGTCTAGATGTCAGCTATATCAGCTGTCATGTCAAAAAAAAAGTATCCAGGTTTAAACATATATTGTATATGTTGATGTGTTGGCAGCGTATCTAGTATTGAAAAACTAAGCTTGTATTTGGTTTGTTATTTATTGTTTATAGTTATCTTTAAGATTTGTTGTAGGTATGGCCAGGTTTGAACAGGTATGCCCAGGTTTAAACAGTGGTTCAATTTACCCCCTGACATGGATCAACTTACCCCTACACTGGGGCAAGTTGAGCCACAAGACTTATTTTTTTTAAGAAGTAATATTTTCACTGCCCTTGATCAAATATGAATTATTATCATTGCCATTGATAGGAGACATCCTGAGTTATAGGTGTGTGTTTTCATTTTTACTATGTGTCATTTCTCCTTGCTTAGAGGACAGCATAACTAAAAAATGGCTCAACTTACCCCACTCTCCCCTACTACGGCTTCCACAGATGAACATTTTTTATGTATTTATTGTCAAAGCATTTCATGTATTCATTGCTATGGGGATGTTAAGAGCATTCCATGGAATATAACAAAAAGTGTTTCTGAAATAAATTACATACCCCACCTTTAATCAACACATGGGGTGAAAGTGCTTTTGCTTTTGCCGCAAATGTCCAAACATCTCTGAAAGATAAAATGTTCTTTCTAAAGTCACACACATCGCTCTTACCCTCAGCCAACACTGTCTGCACAGAAATGAGGGGAGACACGGCCGTAAATTCTCCCTTTTATTGATACTTTAATATCAAAAGCCAGTTAATGATAGGGTCACCTTGAGGGTTATCTGTCATATCTGCGGCTTGAGTCATAAGACAATGACTGGCAGTGACGACCAAGGCAACAAGGGATTTAAAGTCAGAGCGTGTATAAATCTTTAGTGTAATTTAGGCTTTTCCAGAATCTGTCTTTCTTGTGAGCGAAAACACTGCACAGTGCTCTAGTAGAGCCTCAGAGGGTGTGTTCGGGGTCTTGTGATACGTTTCTGGGAGTCTTTACATGCCAGCAGTGGGCCTGGAGCAGATCTGCTCCGTCGGTTTATATTTAGGCTTAGCGTCTGTGGTGTCAGGGGAATATTTTTAATGAGTGTACAGCCAATTGCAGTTTGCCACACACTCACCCCACATTTCACCGCCTGCTCTGACTCAGGGGCCGGGCCCCGGTAACATGAGAACCTCATGCTCCCACGTCACCTGACGCCATGGCAACCTCGAAAGTACAGCCGTGGCGTCCATATTTAGGCGGCAAGGCCGCAGACACAGGAGATGAGCGGCTGTCACATGCTGTGCAGAGACCCTGTGTGAGTAAGTGAGGACCCCGAGGCATGTGAACAGTTGTGGTAATGCCACTCAAGGAATGACAGGAATATTTATGGCTGCCTCGCTGTGACTAAACATGTGAACAACTGAAATCCCCCTTGCACATATAAGCCCTATATAAACATTACTTAAATGTTTTACACACTCTAATGTAGCTGTTAGCAGGTGTGTAGTCATGTTCTGGTTATTAACTGTATTTTACATCAATAATCTTAATTTTTCATTCAAGGAACATTTAATATTGTGCATTATTTATTTATTTTTTGGCAAAATGTTTTTTATTAAGCCTACTCTTCTCCCCCTACGCTTTTCACCTACATTTCTCACCATACACACTCTATATATACTTCATGGCTGCCCATAGGAAGATTTGTTGACAAATACTGTAAACACTTATAGCCGCTTGCTACCACATTAAAGTGTGTTATGACCCATCTAAGTTTATATACTGCTTATGTTAGGTAGAGATACAGTGACAGGTGGGCCCCATGTTCCTTATTGAGTCATTTTTTAAAAGGTCACAAAGTTGTGATTATGTAACTGGCTCTCGGTCCTGATCGGTCTGCACTGACCTAAAACCCACACCAGAGAAATAAATGACATGCATGCTGCCAGCAGAGGAGGGAGTAAACAACAAGCAAAAGCTCAACTACAGACTTGAAAAACATTTTCTTTTGCACTGGAAGAAGAAAAACGCCCCGATATTCAAATCTGAGGTAGTCAACTCACCTTGAAAATGTGAAGTTTAGCTAAGAGATATACTTCCACTTTTATGTGGAGTCCAAAATTTTGCTCAATAGAAGTCAATAGTTTGCTCCATTTTTTTTTTGCCAATAATAACTCGCTTAGTGAACGTTGCAACAAATCCTCAGGACGCCCTTATTCGCTGTTGAATTATTTTAACTAAATCTCACAAATATTAATCTTTAGGAACTACAACTAGTTTTATTGGGTTTCTGCCAATTGAAAAAAGTATTTAAGATAAGTCTGACCTAATATAAAAAATATATATATATACATACATGTATATATATATATTTTTTGTTGGATTGACTGTGGATTGGACCAAGTAATACAAACTAAACATATAGTTTATCCTGTCCACATCTAAAAGAAAAATACATACAAACATTGACTCTTTGTCTTCCTTTTCTGTGTCTGCACAGATATTTGGTTACAAACACATTTGTAAAAAGTGTTGAAACAGAAGTATCCTGCAGTCATGCACAGTAAAGCTTAAGGGGCAAGATGACCTCTTAACATCAGGAGGTATTAACACGTCAATCTGGGTAAAGGGTCTAATGGCGGGACGGTTTTTAATAGCTCACACATAAAACATCAGTTTGTCACGTGTAGATCAACCAAAACGTGAAGACAGATAGAGCAGCGTAAGGTTTAGAGCTGAAACGTGAGGAGAGCTGACCGCGCTGATTTAGGTGAAGGTTAATTAACTTTAAGCAACATGCGTGTGACAAGAAACCTGATGATCGACAGTCGTCAAATAACAGATCATTCATAATTTATTAGACACTTCTATTTTAACTCGGGTTAGAAAGAAACAAACAAAGAAAACACTAAATCTGTTTTATTTAAAAACTCACTTTCAGGAGTAGCTACCACAAAGGGACAACAGTATAATAATGTTCATGTTTTTTCACACATTTGTTCAGCATCTCACCTGCATTGTCTCCCCATGATCTGTGGTAAACCCTCAGGCTTTATCATTTAGTTGTAAACTCCTCAGACTGGCAGTGTGAGGCCTTCAGGGGAAGTAAACAGTTGTATTCCTTGTGTGGATGTTTTCTCGTGGTAAAACCATTTTAAGACCATCATCTTCGTTTAATCTCACAAGAAGCAAAGCTGTGAGCCCTGGATACCTAGATTCATGGGATAAGATATATTCAAAGCGTAAAAATAATTAGTGTCTCGCTCTGGGAAAGATCTGCTGCTGCTGCTGCTGCTGTCTCCCATGAAAACAACCAAAAACTTTATTTTATGTACAAGCAACCCTATAGTTCACAGTAAAGATTAGTTTTTTGTGGCAACATTTGTTGTGATTTGTTTACTTTCAGACACACAAGAAAGACTAAATTTAACGTTAATACTTACTGGCTAAACTTTGTGGGTTACATGTCCTGCTCGGGAAGTCTTGTGCCAAACCAGTGCCGAGGATCTGTGGCTCTTATAAATCTGGAGTGCTGCACTTTGGAGCAGGCAGGGGGAGGTGTCTTTGACTAAGAATAGAAAAGCATGCAGGCTCAACGTCCTGATGCCCTATTTGGATGAGGAAACACACACCACGGCACAGCAGGAGAGAGGTGACACACACTGAGCTCTGCCTGACTCTGTGTGTCCCATCCGTGACCCATATCAAACTATCTGAGTTTATTACCTGAAAACTGAATCATAGTGACATCTCAATTTTGAAGCCACGTGGAAAAACATTGAGTTTAATAGGTAGTTTTTGCACTCAATGGCCCAGTACATACAACATGCTGCCCCTTTTAACACATCCAGTTACTTTGACTTCACTGGGATATTTTTATTTCATTACATTACATTGCATTTAGCTGACGCTTTTATCCAAAGCGACTTACAATAAGTGCACTCGACCAGGAAGATACAACCTAGAAGAAAACAGAATCATATAAGTACATCAGGTTTCATAGAGCCAAACATTTCAAGTGCTACTCAACTGGCTTTAGATAAGCCAGTCCTTTATTAGCATATAAGGGCTTTGTTAGTAATTCTATCGCTCGAAGTGGAGTCGAAAGAGATGAGTTTTCAGTCTGCGCCGGAAGATGTGTAAGCTTTCTGCTGTCCTGATTTCAATGGGGAGCTCATTCCACCATTTTGAAGCCAGGATAGCAAACCCACAAGTTTTTGCTGATGGGAACTTGGGTCCCCCTCGCAGTGCGGGTGCAGCGAGCTGTTTGGCCGATGCAGAGCGGAGTGCACATGCTGGGGTGTACCGTGTACGGTTTAACCATGTCCTGGATGTAGGAAGGGCCAGATCCATTCGCAGCATGGTACGCAAGTACCAGTGTCTTGAAGTGGATTCTAGCAGTTACTGGAAGCCAGTGAAGTGAGCGGAGGAGCGGCGTGGTGTGGGAGAAATTTGGAAGGTTGAAGACCAGACGAGCTGCTGCATTCTGGATGAGCTGCAGAGGTCGGATGGCACATGCATGTAGACCAGCCAGGAGGGAGTTGCAGTAGTCTAGGCGTGAGATGACGAGAGCCTGGACCAGAACCTGCGCTGTTTTCTGGGTCAGCTGGGGACGTATCCTCCTGATGTTGTAAAGAGTGTATCTGCAGCAGCGGGTTGTAGCAGCGATGTTTGCAGTGAAGGACAGTTTGTTATCTAGGGTCACACCCAGATTCCTTGCAGTCTAAGTCGGGGAAACAACAGAGGTGCCGATGTTGATTGTTAGGTCAAGAGTGGGACAATCTTTTCCCGGAAGGAAAAGCAGTTCAGTCTTGTCAAGGTTGAGCTTGAGGTGATGAGCAGACATCCACTGAGAGATGTCAGGTAGACAAGCAGAGATGCGTGCGACGACCTGGGTCTCTGAGCGGGGAAAGGACAGAATTAGTTGGGTGTCATCAACGTAGCAGTGCCAACTCCTCTGACATAATCTGGTGTATTGGGATATACAGTATATTTATGTGTCTACCAGAACTGCTATGGGTTGATGTGTGGTTGTAGTATCTGGGTTAGCTCAGTGTGCAGCAACGGATATCTAGAAGCTGTAGCTAGCGTAGCCAGAAAGGGAGAGCTCAGTCCTGTAGAATGAATAGCTGACTGCAGTTCCACAGGTAAGCCACTGAATGTCGTAGATGTTAATTTATCTCAGTGTATCATGTGGGATGACGAGAGCAGACGGTTTTATTCACGATTTAGGAGATAAATGAGACAACAGTGTGAATTGTTTATAGGACAGATAAAACAAGTAAATACACATGATTATACAGGTGAGTGGATAGTAAAATATCCATAAAGAAAAATAAAATACTAGTATCACAGTACTGTTTCATTATGTATGTGAGCGTCATAGGATCTCTTAATGTTGTTCAAAATGCCAAGATTGATGCATTTTAACTAAAAAATCTTCCCGCTGGACTTTGCCAGCAGCGGCGGGTCATTGTTCACCCGCCAGCCGTGAACAGGAGCCAGGCTACCGTCAGCCAGGTGCACCACCAACAGCCAATGGGGTGGCTTACCCTTTGTCCATTTCAGTAGACTACAACAGGACGCAGGGCAAGGAGTCCGGCTAATCGGTAACCCGGCCGACATCAGCTGGCCCCAGAAAACACGTGCATTAAAAGCAGAAAAAATGACGGATAGCGGACGAAGTCCGTCCGACATGCCTCGTGGATGTGGCGTGTTTTAGAGCAACTAAATATGGTGAGCAAACGCATACTGCCTTTTCGGACTGAAGTTAGTAACTCTGCAGCTGGTGCTCCCCTACAAAACAGCATCTTGAAATCGTATGCCCGGCTCCCTCTGAAGTTGTTATTGTATATTTCAGGCACAATGGTTTCCAATACTCAAAAACCTCAAAAGTTATAAAGTATGATTCAACCCAATACAGTTACACTACTCAATAAAGCTCTTAGTATTGTTTAAATCAAAAGTTGATATAAACCCTTAGTCTCAGTACAGTTAGATTCAGATATTTAACGGTTTCAGCTCAGAATTTACTTGTCCCATAAAGATTTTCTGCTTCCTGACAATTTTTTATTTTGTAGCGTTATTGAAGTATATTTATACAATTCACATATTCTTTCTCAGTTCAGTATCATAACTACTGTGCTTTTTTATATAAGAGTACACACTCACTGGATAACATGAGAAGTGTAAAAATTTCAGTAATATATATACTCTCTACAATTCTCTTAGAAGTCCATCCCCAGTTGTTATTCTGTCAAAATCGGAGTTGCAACTTCTGTTCTGAAATTCTTTCTTTAAAGTCTGAAGCAGGCAGATGTTGTTATTTTAATCTTTTTTTTGTTTAGTGAATTGTTGACAACTTCACACTGATGTATATATTATGTTTGTCCTAAAAGTCTTCTGCCCTATTTGGTGGAAATATATATGTAGAAACTCCTTTCCCTGTGTAGGTATCGCCATACATGGGTAATCCTGTTTTTACTAAAAGCTATTTCGGAAAGAAAAGGGAAATTCCACAGCATTCTCTCAATGTTGTATTATGTGTGATTTGATCACCTTTTAAACAACTCACTTGTTGTCTGTAAACCGTCAACTCACTAAGAATTGTATCAGAAAAGACAGGGTGTATTTTTTCCTCTCCCCAAACCTTATTCCCTTGTTTCTGAACTTTTATGAGCTATGTCATCTAAAATTTGGTATAATATTTTTTATAACTTATTATTATATAACCCTGGAATGAAGAGTATGTTTTATGTTCATGGAACGTTGGATCTTTAAGATTATCAGAGTCATATTCATAAGCTGATGCTAAATAGCTATCTCGGTTAGCATGTGTCACCGAACTGCCCCTGGAGAAACTCACATGGAAATCTACTTTTTATGTACTCAGTGTTTTTACCTTTAATCACCGGTGTCCGTTTGCTTTGGAGATTTGATTGTGATTGGTGGTGCTTGTTACATGCAGAGCCTGCAGTCACATGTACATCTTATCATTTTACTTGTTATCGTACATATTTAATCCAATATTGCTGATGTTGCATGTTAACAATATCTCAAATACTGTTGAGGTCTCAAATCCCCACAGGAGTCTCAATTTGGGTGGTTGATAAAGTGTCTTGCTTCCTAGTTTGCACTCGAACGACACTGATTGTGTCAGTTTGTGGGGTATTGAACCTGTGCTCTCCTTGGATGTCTCCGTAAAACATCCAACGCCTATCCACTCATGCGCCCCACATGCCTTTCACTCTCACTCAAAAGTAATCTCCTTCTAGGCATGACTAGTATTTTACGATCCGGCCGCAAGTTTTCCTTTGAGCAAGCTCAGCAATTAATATATGCTGTGAATACATGACGTATATTTTTTTTAATATTTTTCTTACTTTTTGTTGGTTTGTAGTTTAATTTGCTCAATATATTAATATCTGCTATAAAAATATTTTCATTTTTTTTAATATACTGTACGTTCTCCACGCGAATTCGTGTAGATATCGTCTCGCAATGTTGGTCATAGTTCCGCGATTAATCGGTCTAATCGACCACAGTATATATCTGTGCAGCTTCGCGTCTACCAAGAATCTACCTTCCAGATGTGATATAGTTGTGTTGTGTGGTATTGGGTACATTGCTGAGTAAGTGTTAGTTCATGTTGTTTATTGAAATCGAAAAGCCATTACATTTAATAATGGCTTTGGCCTA